GCGCGCGCGAGCGGCGGCGCCTCCGGGCTGTCCTTGGGCCTGCGCCCCCAGCCCGACCGCCCAGTCGTAAATAACCGCGCTGGCCCCGGGCCGCGCGAGAAGCCGGCACCGCAGGGCGCTGCTGGGTCAGCGGAACGAGGCCGCGCTGCGGTGTCGCGTCGCCTAACAGTCCCTTGCTAGGCTCGAGGTCGTGAACCATTTGTAGTCGCATGTGTACATAGACAACAAAAAGGAGGTGCGGATCTTTGCTTCAAGTCGCAGGGTGTTGTGACTGCGGGACTTTTGATACAGGAAAGCAAATAATGCAGATTGGTTGCCCTTAAAAATCTGCGTGTGTGTGGGGTGCTGGGGAATTGAACCGAGAGCCTTCACACTAAGCTGCATTCCCAGCCCTTTTAATTTTTATTTTGTGACAAGAGTCTACGTCCCTAAGTTGTTCGCGCTGAGCTCCTACTTTCAGTCTTCCTGCCTCGGCCTCCCAGAGGCATGGGTTTCTTTAGCATGTCTGTGATTATACAACGCAACAAATCAAAAATATCTTACGAGTGTGAAATGAAGGAGTTTAAACATTAAAAATTCACAATCAAGACAAAATCAGGAAACATACCCTCACTCTGGGGGGAAGGTGTTGGTATGAATATAAAATAAAGATTGATGAGATTATGTCCTCTTTATTTTCGTGATTGTTAAACTTTTTGTTTGCTACATTGTCAGCAGTTTTATGAGAAAGTTTATATGACGTTCTTACCAATGTCCCATCGCTAACTCCTTTTGGTTATTGAGTTATGCTAGCTTTAATTTTCATATTATGGAATGGTATCAGTTGTAATATCTTAAAACTAGGGGTGTAGACAACTAAGTGCTTTACCAGTGGTTACAGTTGGGCTACAGTGTCAAGGGAATATGATCAATTAATTATGTCAATTCTTAGGAAAACCAAGTGATTTCAGAGGCAATCAAACTGAAATTTTCTGACGCAGATCCTGCCGTTCCTATTCTTTACTAACTTTTTGCCTTATACCCTATCAGATATACTACAGTACATCTTGTTTAAAAATAGGTCGATGAATTTTTCCTCAAAGCTACTAAAAGTGGCGAAAAGCAACATCATCTATGACATAAATACTAAACATCTATTTTAGGATGTCATCTCTGTTTTTTCACTTAGACTTGTTACTTTTATGTAATTAGTTCCATTCAGGTAGACTCCATGGTACTCCTTCCTTGCTTTATCAACAGGTTTCCTTTAACTTTTACTTTCTATGAATTCTGAAAGTTTTAGTTTTCCAAAAGCATGTATTATTTTGCATCTGTCTGTGGCTATGGAGACTGTGTTGTATAAATATAAAAATTGATAAGCTTATTGTATCCTCTTTATTTTGTGTTTGTTGCATTTTGAGTGGTTTGTGACACTTGGGTTGTTATGCTCAGGGCATTGAGAATCTCTTCTGCTTTTACCGGGTTCCACTCCCCTGGAACATTTGCACCCTGCCCTTTGCCTGACCCAAAACTAAGTTGTATCTAAGTAATGTGAAGCCAGACCATTTATCTAGCCCAGTCCAGCTCCTGGCACATAACAGGACCTCAATGATGTTAATTATCATGAAGGATAATTATTGTTCTTGTTGCGGGGGGGAGGAAACCGGGATGGAGGCCAAGATAAGAAGGGAAACCAAACACTAAAGGAGTTGATGGACCAAGCAGCACATCTGGAAATGCAATCAAATCAAATGGTGGGGGGAGGTAAAAAGAAATAAAGTTTTGAAGGGAAGGATTAGAGACCGAATGTGGTCATGAAGAAGGGTTAGTTCAGGAAGAAGATTTGTGATTTTGATTTAGGACTTAGAATATCCTCAAATATTTGGCAGAACTTTGTTTGACTAGAGCTTTAAAGCTTAGTTCTACGGTGGGGAAGTTCACCGTAACCCACTGTCAAAGGTCACTGACCTGACTTGTCACACCTTCCTTTTTGTTCTTACATCTCCCACTGGTGATAATAACCGAGCTGTCAGTTGTATGCATTTAACTGTATAACTTCGAGACTAGTAATACTCTTACATTGACCAGTAGAACTACCCAGTCTGTTTTTATATTACTTCCAAGGTCTTTGCTGATGTTGCTTCACTGTTCAGTTCCTGTTTATGTCCTGCAAGCTCCTCTGTCTTTGTCTACCATTTAGTGGTAAGGACTTCTTTTTTTTTGTTTTTGTTTTTTGTTTTTTGTTTTTCTTCCGGTACCAGGAATCGAACTCAGTACCTCGCGCTTGCCAGGCAAGCACTGTGCCGCTGAGCTAAATCCCCAGCCTGGTAGGCACTTCTTACTTTACATATTTGGAAACAGAGACTAGCAGCTCAGAGTTGCTGTTAGCAAAGCTTCCTGGCTAAAAACTCATGAACCCTTTCTCAACTCATATCTTGTTTTCATGTCTGATTGTGATTAAAGCTTCAATGTTTATCAAAAGGTGTCTCAGAATACTCCAACCAGAAGTTTATGTAAAATAAAAACTATATTCCTTATTTCTCATATTTATGTGTTGTTTACTGGAGAACTTTGTGCAATTATTAACTGTACAATTTAGAAGGAATGCAAAGGGCTTGAGGTGAGTTGAGCTAGGAGTAATAAGCTTAATTGAAAAACTGGAAACTAAAGGCCTAAGATATAGCCAAAGAGTTTTAACCAGAGTATCTTAAAAATGTCTTTTAGTACCTGAAAACTCAAAAAAGATGGTTATGAACTATTTTTCTCATTTACTAAAGAGAGACCAAATGAACTTAGTACTTTAAGCAAATGACCTCGTCTTGTATCTTCCCTGACTTGTAGCACTTTCACCTGTGAAATGTCCATATGGACAGGCCCAGGAGGTACCTGGTCATAAGTCCTAGTGCAACCAGTGCGTAGTCTTGTCTTTGGCTCCTACCCCAGACTGTCAGGTGTTAGATGGGAAATTGCTTTTAGGGCAGATAATCAAACGGAAGGGCAACCTTAGGAACAGATGGAAATCTCAGCATAAAGAGGGTACCATCAGAGACACCGAGAATACCATAAGGTAAGTCAGTGTCCGTACACGGAGAAGCTTAGCAGGATGGCAGACCAGTTTCATCTCTTGCCAGGTCCTGTCCATTGCTATTGGTTACCCAGAACACTGGGCTAAGCAAAAACTCCAGGCCAGGCTCGAAATTCACAGGAAAATTGGATGAGCACATCTGCTATACGCAAGCCACCAGACTGAGTCTGCGATGAATTGTGGTTTTACTTTGATTTCCTTGAAACTCCAATAAGAGGATGCAAATAATAGCAGGAACAGAAAACTTAAACATTTCTGTAATAGGCATAAGAATATTTTGTGTTTGCATTGTAAATTTATAGAATATTGAAAAGGATTTGGAGCTAAATTAGCATAAAATTTTTTTAATCTTTTAAGTATTTTTTGAGGGAGTAGGGTAGGGAGTGCTTAGTGGAAATTATCAAAAGTAATTTCATACAAAGACTCAAACTACAACATAGACAGCAGTGTGTCCCTCGCTGAAAAAAGGGGGTCTCCAGGCCTCACCTACTGAAAGCCTTTTTTCAGTTCTCATAGTGGAGTCTTAGGTGCCTTTACACAGTTGTGGTTAAAAACTATTAAAATATAAAACGGAGAGGCTGTCAGATTGAAGAATTTTCAATGGGCTTGCAACCAAGACTTGAGACTGGATATTTGGTCTATATTTAGTAGCTCCAATGTTGGGTCATCAGGTTTTCTTTTTCTTTTTTTTTTTTTTGGTTTTGGTTTTTCTCCGGTACCGGGAACCGAACTCACAACCTTGCGCTTGCCAGGCAGGCGCTTTTGCCGCTGAGCTAAATCCCCAGCCCCAGGTTTTCTTTTTCAAGGAATAGAATAGTAAACACATTTGCTCAAAAAAAGAGACATATTTTAAGGATGAAATCTTACAGAATCCAGAGAAAAGCAGTACTAGGGGATCTTGGAAAGTATGGCTAAGTCAGGTTTAGGAACAGACATAGTAAGAGTTTAAGGATATTTATTCTAAACCACTGCTGTTAGCATGACTTGGCTTTCATCCCTCAGGCTCTATGAGTCTCCATTCAAATTCTGAAGAGTAGCATTAGCTTGGTCTGTGTGGATATTTCTACCTTTGTTAGTTTTTCATTTCCAGGCCAATCAACTGCCTCTGAAAGAAAATTGCAGAAATATATGCAGATGCAGTTTCTGGGAAAAAGAAAGAAAGGCTTCTTTTAGAAGGCCTGTGGGCAGGGACCAGTAGTGTGATGATAAAGGTTTAATGACTAGTGCTGTTGTAGAAGAGCTCTGATTTGTAACATTTGCAAATTTCCATAGTGGAAATACTGCTACTCTGGTGATTTCAAACTACCAACATGATGGAACTGATTGCAAAGCTGGGAAGTAATATGCGGAAATATGTCATTATATGGTAGCTTCCACTATCTACATATGAAAGATATAATAGATGATGGTAAAATAATTGGACAGCAATAAGTTTTTAGTACTTATTGCCCTTTATATTTTCCTAATATTTATACATTTTATTAATTTTTAATTTATCTAAGAGTCTATGTATTTAATTTTTAATGATGTCCCTGTTCAACAACTGGCTTGAAATTTTTCTGAACATTGAACAGCTGACATGAGAAGGAGGTAGGATGAATAAGATATAAAAGGAAGCCAAAAAAAGATCAGGATTAAGGATTTGCCTTTAGCTACAAATGGCAAAATGAATTTATCTATCCTTTAATCAAAAGAAGGGTAACAATCCTTTTCACCTTCCCAAGGTAGTCAGTTGGTTTTAATCAAACCATATCTTAAGGAATTACTTCATTGTTTCTAATTGATTACATTTGTTGTTCCAAAGACTTGGAGTTAAAGAGTCTCTTCGGGTGAATAGACACTGGATGAGCACAACTGACTCCCCAGACCTGGTGGACTACTTGAGCTGAGTTTGCAAGTGTCCAATTAAAAGGCTGTGCATTCACTTGATATTGCCAAGTGACTAGGGGTTGCCTTATGCCAATATTAATTTTTAGGTTTGATCAACATATATTTCAAATTTTCACTTCAATGATATAATACAACTAACACTTAAATTTATTATACTTAAAATGTATGTATCATCCACATGAAGGTATTCATTCCTAAACCAAATAATAATTGAGTGATTTAGATCATTATGCAATAGCTTAGTACAACAAAGTAAA